TTCTGCATGCTTGCAAGGGTGTTTCAGAAACATGTTCCTTATTGAAAGTGTTTTTGAATTCAAGACAATGGTGGTGCCCACAATCCCTAAATCTACTTGCTGACGATGTGTTGTTTGTCTTCCAAAGCCCTTGATTTGTCCATGCTCATTTGCAATATCTACACACTCTCTTTTGGCATTTGACTGCTTTACAGTCAACTGGGTGACGCAGCTCTCCTTTCAGTTGATGCTTGGCAAGCCCCTATGGTCCCTACTGGCTCGACCACTGGAAGCATTGCCCAGAGCATCACGAGCATGCAGAGTGTAAGTAGATCATGCTTGCCACCTGTAAACGTACAATGTGGGCTACATGGGCTGCAGTAAATATATCGATTAATATTGCATGTTTCAGGCTTAGCGTCACCACTTGCCGGAGTTACTGCATTGCATTGTATTGTTTCATCATGTGTCATCATTTATTCAATACATGTTGGTATGGAGCCCGTTCACGATTTGGCTTTGCATTCTTGGCGCATGACTGAGCTGCCAGGTACCTGTGGTATTTCCAATCTGGCAACTGTTTTTTCGGTTTTGACATCACCAACACTGCGCAGAAGCTTTGGTCCGCCACATCCGAAGCGTCAAATGCCTCGCTGCTAAAGCTTGGGAATTTGGCCTTTTCACCGCAGACTGGCCCAGTGGAAGGCCGTTGCTAAAATAGTGGGATCGAAACTTTGCGTTTTACAAACACTTGGTGACCTCACTTCACAAATATTGGTCAGATTTGTTCAGATCCTTTCAATTCAAAATTACAACATCTCAAAACGCATAGACAGACACAGTGAGACGAAATTCCCGCTCAAGAATTCATCCGAATACACATTGACATGGTGTTTCTGGGTCAAAACCTGCCGTCTCCAGTCACCATCCCCAGAATAAGCAAAACAAAAAGGGTACACCGTACCCCATCTATGGTTAATTTGGTTTTGACCCATACAAAATGGTACGTATGATGGCTTGACCGGTTTAGAACCATTTGCAGAATGTCTGACTCGGTTGAAGTGTCGTGCTCCGGAGGCCATTTCCGCATCGCTCTATACTATGACCTTGGCAATCTCACACTCTGCCTTCACGCCGATCTGAATCAGCCCCAAGGCCCTGGGCATGCCATGGTGGTATCAAGCGATTGCAGATCATTCTTTGCTTGGCAGAACGAGCGTCTAGCATATTTCCATTTGGGCAATCAGACAGCCACTTATTTTGTGCAGATGACGACCAACAATGGATCATCCGTGTTGTTTGTTGCAGATCACTTGGTTCCAGGTGCCACATCGCAGTTTGACATCTTCGGATCTCAAGGCAAATTCAAGCCTTTGGATGACCTTTCTAAATGCTTGCAGGCGAAGAAGGAAAGCTTCGCTCCCACTCAGAGCTATTGGGGCCCAAGAACACGTGTGATCTTCCCGTGGGGACAACTGCCGTACAACCCTTGCTATTCTGTTGGCAGTCTGGAAATCACAATTCACAGGGGCTACACAGCAGACTATGCATGGCAGAAGTGTCACACTTCTCCTTTCCTGGAGAAATACGGAGAGACGACGTGGCATGACGTACAGGAGGTGTCTGACTTCACTCCTGAATGTCCACATCCAACGATTCTCACGGAGATGGTGTGGCCGAAGGAATCTCCTAATCCTGACTATTCGAGAAAAGTGAATTATTCTTTTGGTTGCACACACGTTGGATCGAAATATGCACAAGAAGACCCTGAAGATGTGGAGCATTCTGTGTCTCCTGCGGCACAGATTCTATTTTTCAATTGTGATGACGATGCTTTGATGTCTGGAATCAAATTTAAAAAGGTTGCTGAGCCAGTTGGGCAAAGATTTTTTTAGCCGCCAATCAATTCAGAGCTTTCTTTATTTGTTTTTCAACTTGTGCGCACAGCCTTGCTTCACACTGCATACCAATTTTGCTGAGGCTGAAACGCCGATGGTGTATTGTCGGAGATACAAGACCGATATCAATTCAGATCCTGCTCATGAGACCCCCGTTCAGTTTGAGGCTGGGCTGGCTAAACTGGTTGAGCAAACAATTTGAATTTGCTGTGCAAATTCATGTCGGGAGTTTCAATAAGTGTTCTTTCCGCGAGCACATTGCCTTTTGTTCCAGTTGTTCTATTTGTCAGTCTCCTGTCCGCGCGTGTGGTGGTCCATATAATTCATCGACATGGTCATTCAGCCAGCGAAACGGTGAGCATGGCTTAACATATGAGCATGAAATTGGGGTCAAACCTATTCCTGTGGATATAGCTGCAAATTCACTTACGCGCTGCAAGTCTTGTGGTCCGATTGGTGTACTCAATGTTGCTTCGTGCGCCCAAGCCAGGAGGGCCTGCTGGGTTCAATGTGGGTACTGCTTGTCGCCCTGCTTGCTCGTTCAATGACGATGACGACGATGGTGGCCTTAGCCCGCTTTTCGCAGAGTGTAGTGCTGACCCCATCCCACCCAGGCATGTGGTAAGCTGTCAAGCTTTCCATTTCTCACGCAGCGGCCAAACCAACCAGGAGAGCTTGCTGTACAGCTTCCTAGGTGGACATATCTCTTGCAAGCGCTGCTAGTGCAACTTCACTGCTTCAAGCAGAGACATCAAGTTGACGATGCTCTGCAACCGATTCCCCCCACCCCAAACACAATTAATTCAATGACAATGACTTGGCCATGACAATGTTGTAAGTCCATGTGAAGCCCGATTTCAAGGTTCTGAAATCACATTGCTTTTCACTCGCATATATGTTGCAGAGGCCCAATATGTTGCAGTTAGCAACTCGCTTTCTTTGAGTGAATCAACAGCTTGCGGCATCTTGAGAAACATCCAACAGCATTATCACAGTTAAAAAGCTTTTGTCTCACTCGTGCGGAAAGGTTGTGCTTCTTGAAGTGTACATTTGCAAAACTGTGTGGCTTGCAAAAACCTGGCTTGCGTGTCGACGATCGTTTGCTAATGGCAAGTGTGGTTTGTCCAAACAGCCTCCATTCGGTTGAGTTGCTCCTTCTCTCATGGCACGTGTTAATTGTCCTCAGCTGAGGTCAAAGCATGGCTCATGTGCGACATGTGTAGATGTTCCAAGTTCTCGCTGATGAGCTTGTTAGATAAATGACGGGCCCAACATGTCACATGACTTTGCCCTCGTCTTTTCTGCGGTTCGGCTTTGGGATTCCCACATGTTTTTCACTTGCCCGCGCTTGCGCTCACTTGGAATTGCGAGTTTTGCAGGACTGCAGTGACATTGCGACGCAGCACTGGAAGATCCAGACGAACGATTTACCTGGAGTTATGGAACTTCAGAGCTGCAAAACATCTCTATCAGTCGTCACAGACGCAATCAACAGCTTTGCAAACCCTGATGCTGATGCAAAGCTTCTCAACTTGACAATTCCAAATTTCGACAGTTTTTCCGCCAAGGACACGTTGCCGCCACAATTAGTTTGAATTGTCCATAATCTTGAGCTTGGTTTAGTCGCTACCTTGAGTTAGCCGTTTGCTTGTCAGGAGAAAGAGTCATACACTACGGCCCCAGCAATTCATATTGTGGCTGCGAATCTTGATCAGATTCTATTCAGTTGTTTGCCAGGCGGGGGCTTAGAGGGTTCTCCTGGCCAGCAAAAAGGTTTAGAGGAGGTATGGGAACAGAAGTACCCAAAAGAAAAATGTTGCAATTGTAGTTTTGCGCAAAGAAGTGCTGCCATGCTTTTGCTACCACTGCTGCTGCTGCTCATGTGTACTCGCAGCGTCTTGTGTTTGCGCCTACTTTTTCTTTGTCTTTTAATCTCTCCACCACAGCAGGGTTTGGACACATCTCATTTGTTCAGGCCATTTGGCCCAAAACTGCACCAAGATCGTCAAAATTCAGAGCGCTCACCGCACTACAAACGTCATCAAATGCCTTGGCTTTTTAACTTCCCCAATTGTGGCCATCATCCATGCCGCCGGCGCAAAATATTCACCAGCCTAGGATATCATTGGGAAAAAACTTGTTGCACTAGCAAATCGCCGTCGTGCTTGATGTTCAGGTTGTTAAGGCATTTCTTAGGCAGAACTGGTAACTTCTCGAGTTTGCCAGTCAACGGCTCCCCTGAAAACGAGGTGAAGCAACAAATGTCCAGGTGCAGGGGCGCTCGACACTTTGCGCAAGCAACGCTGCTGTGAAAGTCAGCGATTTGTGCCAAGCAAGAAGCATCTTCCGAAGCCAATATCAACCACAAGTTGTTCAAAAAACATGTCCTGTGCTGAGCCTAGGCTGCACTTGATCATCCAGCCAAATGCTTATGTTTTCCCACCATCGAGAAAAGGGTACTTGCAAGGTTGCACAGACTATAGGCTGATAAGACTGTCACTGTTATTCGTTGAACAGATTTTCGTGACACTGCATGGTTTGCGCTGAACAGGATGGAAGAGTCTGCTCAGATCGAGCCGAGCATTGCCATTGACACTGCTAGTGGTGGCATGACCATGGGCCAGCTGAGTGAAATTCTTCGAGACCAATCCTATTACACGGTGCCCTTTGGAGACCCCCATGACCTACCCTTCAACTATACAGGGAATGCTGCAGACATTGACAAGGTCATCAGTGTGGGCTTCTTAAGTGTGCAGTCTGGTGGAGGTGTTTGGGGACTCAGATGTCCCCCAGGTGCTGTGGTGGCATCGGACAAGTCAACCCTGCCATATTGCCTGCAGATAGATGCTGGCGCAGACTCCTGGATCATCCCAACCGCAGGTTTGAAATTGTGTTCATACTGTTACTGTATACATCTGTATACTATATACTGTTTGATTTGTCATGTGGAGAGACCACCCTTCTGTCAGGAGAGAGTCTTCTATGCATTCTCTGGCTCAATCAGTTGTCCAGAGGGCAGCGCCGTCAGCGGTTGGTATAACTTGCCCGGGTTTCCAGTACAAGCAGGTTCTTTTGGTGGCCCAAGCAATGCCACAGGCTTGCGCCTTTTCTGCCGCATGACGGCTTTGCTCTCATCTTGCCAGCAAGCAACAACGTCTTTTTGCCAGGAGCCCCATACATTGCCATGTTCAAAAGCAACAACCAGACATGAACTGCTACGTAGATTTGCTTCTGCTTTGTTTTGCGTTCTCGCTATGGTTTCCAGGAGGAAGGGGTAGTCACTTCCGTGAGCTATGACTCCAACCAGTTCAAACTCGGGTGTTGCCGGTTGCAGAGGCTGAAAGGGAATAGGGAACGAAGCCCCACACCGCTTCCAACATGAGCAGTGCCAAGACAGTTGGAAGCCACCGACTTCATCCGACTTCACCAGTCCATTCCACTTCCTCCGTAACTGTGTGTGGTCCATGAAAAGTGTGTTCAGAAGAATGCCATGTCTAGACACCCTTCTGAAGCACAAAGGCATTCAAGGAAGCAAAAAAAACGTCCATTACGATATGTCTCGAAAGAAAAGCCAGGATGAATGCTGTGGGAGTGGGCAACGCCATATTTTAGATTGCAATAACATATGCGCATTGTTTGAAACTGGTTCCAGCACATCAGATGGCCCAAGGGGTTGAAACAGTTCGATATGTCTATTGTCAATATGTGTTGAATGTTTTTTGACGCTGAATGTGTGTTGTGCTGCCCACACAGGCGGTTGGGCATGTCGCTAACATCAAGTCCACGAAGTACGCTGAAATATGAGAGCTTTGCTGGGTACTATTGTCCCATCAGAATTGACATCACAGGCGCTCCTATTTACAAGAAGACATTGATAAAAAGCATTGGCGAGCCACTACTGAACACGACCAGGTGCGTATGGGACTCTAGATAAATGAAGGTGCCTTTCTACAAGCTAGATCCGCTGTTTCGTGCTTGAAGATTGTATCAAAATCGGGTTTGAAGAGAACATGGTTAAGCGAAACAATGCGCCGTGCGGTCGTGCCTTTCTAATGTAGTCCCTTGATTAATCACCCCCCCCCCCCCCGCTGAAATGTAGAGGCCTACTTGTACAGGTTCCACTCCAGTGACCTATCTAGTGTGTCCATGCTTGACTGCCATAAGGCTCAAGAAGTCAAGAGGATAAGACTCTGCGTAGAAAAAGACACTAGCGGTCTGCACCTCAACCGTGTACGCCCTAGTCACTCTTTCAGTGGTAGCGGAGCAGTGATCCTGGAAGACCCAGGTGAGCTCCTTTCCTAGGCATAGACTTGCTTTTAGGCAAACGGCCATGGATTGGATTGACGACTGGGAAGAGCCTGATGCGGATGTGGCTTATGAGCCAGCAGCCTATGTGAATAGGCATGTGAGAAGAGAGCCAGCAGCTATAGCAATGACAACACAGGTCACTACAAAGGTGCCCCCATCTTATGATGGAAAGACTTCATGGTTTTCCTATGAGGATGCCATAGACGATTGGTGTGATATCACCGAGCTGGAGGATGAGAAGAGAGGACCAGCATTGAGGAACAGATTAGAAGGAGAAGCAGCTGTATACAAACGTGTTTTAGACAGAGATGCTTTGAAGGCGAATGATCCACCAGGAGCTGGAGTAGATTATTTCAAACGAGTACTACGACCATATTTTGTGAAAGGAGCAACCAATGTATTCCTGTATAGGTTTATGCAATTCGTGCGCTTCAATCGCGGATCAGCTGACATGATGAAGTGGATGACAAGATTTCAGATTTTACTCCAAAGGCTTATGAGCAGTTGGATGGATATTTTGGAGCCAGTCACACAAGCACATCCTCAGGTACAAGCTCAGATGCAAGCTGAAGCAGTGATGAATGGAGTAGCTCCAAGGGCGGAAAGAATTCAGCAATACTCCACAACAGAGTTGAGGACAGTTTTCGTTGAGATGTTCTGCACGACAAAGACTTCAGTAGACAATCCTTTGATGCAGCCGACAGGTGCTGGAGGTAGAAGATCATTCCTCGTGCTTGAAGAAGGAGAACTCGATGGTACATATGGCTTTTGGGCCGAAGATGAAGAAGATGGAATAGAAGGATTTCTTGATGCCCTGGACGATGTCTTTTGGGTATATGATGAACAGAATTTCTCTTGGTTCCAGAGGAGATTCCAAGGAAGAAGAGCCAGAAAAGGCAAAGGAAAAGGAAGAAGAAAAGGAAAAGGCAAAGGAAGATCAGGCCGCAGATTCTTCAGACCTCGTGGAAAAGGAAAAGGAGGAAAGAGACGAGGTAAGGGCCACTATGCTGATGAGCAACCGCCAACCTATCCAGATGAGTATTTTGAGGAGAATCCTTATGAGGACACTTGGGAGTCAAACCAAGCAACATATGATGCCATTCTTGCCGAAGATATGAATGACTATCTTCAAGGAGAACATGAAGATGCCTATGACTTTTGGCAACAGCTTGAAGAAGCATGGTTTTCCCACAAAGGAAAAGGAAAAGGCAAGAGAAAAGGCAAGAAAGGAAAAGGAAAGGATAAAGGAGATGGCAAACAAGATGCAAACTATGCAAATCAACAACAGCCACGCTCCTTGCCTGCACCGTCAAGATCTTCACAAGCATCAGGAAGCCACCAAGGTTTCTTTGCGCATTGTGTGACAACAGCAGCTGAAGTCCATGACAGTGAGGTGAACTTGCTGTCAGGCATGATGACCTCATGTCAAGATGAAGCTGACTGTAAGGTCAACAATGGTGAGATGATCTTCGATGGCATGAGTGCCCCTGTGAGGTACTCTTTGTCAAAGGAGAGGCTCACAAGTGCTCCTGATGGCTTTGCGCTTATGAGCGCTGAGGAAGAAGTGAAGGAGACGCAGGCTATTTCATTTTTGACTGAGAATCGCTTCCCGCCAACTATTGCAATCCTGGACATTGGATGCACTAGAGCTATGGGATCAAGGCGTGCAGTCGA